TGAATGTTTGTCCCCTCCAAACCTCATGTGGAAATTCAGTCCCAGAGTTGGAGGTGGGGCCTAACTTGAGGTATCTGGGTCATGGAAGTGGCTTCCTCATGAGTAGGTTAGCACCCTCTCTGGGGAGTTGGGGGTGAGTGAGTTCTCGCCCTGTTAGTTCCCCTGAGAGCTGGCACCTCCCTCCCCTCTCTCTTTTGCTTCCTCTCTTGCTATGTCATCTCTGCACACACTAGCTCCCCTTACCCCTCTGCCATGAATGGAAGCAGCCTGAGGCCTCACCAGAAGCAGATGCTGGAGCCATGCCTCTTCTTCAGCCTGCAGAACCATGAGCCAAATAAACCTCTTTTCTTTGTAAGTCATTCAGCCTCAGGTATTCTCTTAGAGCAGCACAAACAGACTAGGACATTCTGTTATCTGGTGGACTCCCCGAGGCAGGGACTGCAGTGATGCTTCTTTGCATACTAAAGCATTGAGTGCCATCATTATAGCAGGCCCTGATCTAGGCACTAGGCACTCCCTACCCAGCCTTGGTAAATGAGCACATGAATGCCCTTTGAAGAAGAGTGGTGGGTATGATCTTTGACAGGCGCCTGCCTGGGGCTTAGGCTTCCTACTACCTAGCTGTGTGACCTTAGGAAACTTAAGCTAAAACATGCCCAGGTCAGGAAACTTAGACCATGACCTTAGGCAGGGTGAGTGGCCAGGCTGGTCAAAGGCAGGCAGGACAGGACTTACAATTCAGCGTGAGCTAAACCCGGAAAGAAGACAAGAAGCATTCTGGCCTAGGCTGAGGAGACCCAAGGAGCAGGAGGTGGAAGAGGAGCTCAGAGGCAGAACTGGAAGACAAGCTCCCCTCTTGGCTGAACTGTCCCCCAGTGGCAGCAGAAGCCCCAACAGCGCTGCCAGCCCAAGCCCAAGGTGCTGAAGGACACGGTCCTTCTTGCTGAAAGACATTCAGTTACCTATCACATGTGTCACTGCAGCTGAGTCTGGGGACTTGGGAGAACCAGCAGGTGCCTGCCCTCAGTGTCTGACAGAGGAGTGGCTCCCAACCTTGGGAGGAAGCCTCTGGGAAACAGAGGCAGGATCAGAGCAGTCCCCCAGGCACCACTGTGCCAGCCTATGACCATGTGGGTGAGCTTTCCTTCCTGAAGTGTCAGCGCTGTGGGTAGTGAACAAGCCATGCCTCTTTGCCTATGCTCTTGATGGCTTTCGTCAGGAATTCCAAACCTGCCCTGGACCCAGGAGCAGCTGGAGGCCTGGAACTGGGGGTGTAGGCTCTCCACTGTACTGCACACCTGGGTCCACCTGCCCCACATTGTCTGGGCTCTGGGCCCTTCTTGCTCCTGCTCCATCTCCTCATTCGTTTTCCCCTTTTCTTCAGGCCAGGAAGCCTGGGTGCTATTGAAAGATGTTTAGGTTTCAGACAGTTCTCTAGTCTTTGACCTGCCCCAGGAGTGAACCTTGGGCTGGAAGACTGACCCGGAATTTTGGCCAGGGAACCACTGCAGATAAGTCCCTTCTCCACTCAGCCTCAGTTTTCTCATTTGTAAAATGAGGGCCCAGATTCAATTATTTACTTTATTGCCCTTTAAAAAAGTTATATTTGTTGCATCTATTATTAGTCTATGACCTACTGATTGTATATAATCTGTAACAAAAAAATACATTACATGAACAGAAGTCCAAGATGAAAATTGCCTATGATCTATTCTGTGAAATGACATCAATATTTGTGTTGGTTTCTGACATTTTCCAGCTCTTATTGAGGTTCACATTCAGTTTTAATGGATTTACGGTAATATCACACATGGGAATTTCATGTTGCATTATTTGTGTTGGTTTCGATATTTCTCCAGCCTCTTATTGAGGTTCACATTCAGTTTTAATGGATTTACGTGTAATATCACATGGGTATGTTGAGTTTTAATGGATTTACAAACACTGCCACATGGGAATTTCTCATGTTGAGTTTCCTTATCGATTTACGGTAATATCACACATGGAATTTGACATTGAGTTTAATGGATTTACGGGCCATCGTGTGCTGACATGGGAATTTCGTATTGAGTTTTAATGGATTTACTGGCAATATCACACATGGGAATTTCATGTGTTGAGTTTTAATGGATTTACTGGTGTGTAAATATCACACATGGGAATTTGATAGTTGAGTTTCTAATGGATTTACGGTAATATCGTAATACATTACATGGGAATTTCATGTTGAGTTTTAATGGATTTACGGTAATATCACACATGGGAATTTGATATTGAGTTTTAATGGATTTATGGTAATATCACACATGGGAATTTATACTTAACACTGTCTGTCAACATTTTACCCTAAGCATCACTTTTCCTTTTCCTACCTCTGTCTTTTTCCCCTGCTCTCATCTGCTGAGGTAGCCAGTGTTAATAGTTTAGTTTGCATTTATATATTAATAGAGTATACATGCAAAGAATTTGCATTTGGTGAGAGAGGTCATTTTTTATTTTATAAAATTGGGATCATTCTTTATAGATTTCTCTGCAACTTGCTTTTCTCATTTAATAATATGCTGTGGAAATCCCTCCAGACTGCGGGAGAGAGTGCTAACCAGTTCTTTTTTAATAGGTGGCATAATTCCATGGTATGGTTGAAGGTATTACAGTTTATTCAACCATTTCCTGATTGATGAGGACTTGAGCTGTTTGCATTTTTCCCCCACCTCCCCACCACCACACTAAAAACAATGCTTCTGTTGAAGAAAAGAGTCAAACTCTGTAAAACATTTGAAGAGGTTTATTCTGAGCCAAATATGAGTGACCATGTCCTGAGGCACAGTCTCAAGAGGTCCTAAGAACATGTGCCCAAGGTGGTTGGGCTGCAGCTTTGTTTTATACGTTTTAGGGGGACATGAGACATCAGTGACTTATGTAAGTAAGTAAGTGAGAGTGAACCACGGTGTACATTGGTTCAATCTGGAAAGGTGGGACAACTTGAAATATGGTGGGAGCTTCCAGGCCATAGGCAGATTCAGAGATCTTCTGATTGACAATTGGTTGAAAGAGTCGTTATTATCGAAAGATGTGGATTCAGTAGAAGGGAGTGTCTGGGTTAAAATGAGACGGTATGAAGACCAACGTTCTTATTATGCAGATGAAGCCTCCAGGTACAGGCTTCAGAGAGAATAGATTGTAAGTTTTTCTTATCAGACTTAAAAAGGTGCTAGACTCTTAACTGATTTTCTCCTGGATCAGGGAAAAGACCTGGAATAGGAAGAGGATTCTCTACAGAATGTAGATTTTCCCCACAATAGACAGCTTTCCAGGGCCATTTCTGAGACATATTTGCGAGGCCAATATATAAAAGAAATGTATTTTGCTGTAAAATAGTTCAGTTTCTTTCAGGGCCTGCTATCGGTCATATGATGCTGTACTAGAGTCAGGTTGGAATTTGCTACAGATTTTGTCTCATTGCTACAAAGAGTCTGTTTCGTCACTCTTCAGAGCTCTGTTAAGACTGTTTTAATGTTTTTTGTTAAATGCTAATGCTGGCCAGCTGTGCCTGAATTCCTAAGGGAGGAGGGGATAAGGAGGCATGTCCTACGCCTACTTCCCATCATGGCCTGAACTAGGTTTCTTTGGAATGCCCTTGGCTGAGAAGGGAGTCCATTCAGTCTGCAGCAGGACGGGCCGCAGACAAAACCTCTCAGACACCGAGTTGTAGAAGGAAGGGCTTTAAAATCTGAGCTCCCTGAGTGCACAATTTCTGGCCTTTTGAAGGGCTCACAACACGAAAGATCTCACAGGAAAGGGTCGTGATTGATTTGAGCGAGCAGCGGGTATGTGACGGGCTGCCTGCACCGGTGGTCAGAGAGAAACAGAACAGGGCCGGGAGTTTCACAGTGTTCTTCTATACAATGTCAGGAACGTGGGTTTCTAAGTCATGAGCTGATTTTTAACTACTGGGTTTAGGCCAGGCAGACCCAGGCCTCGTTCCGGGCTGCCTGTCTTTGGTTTTACTTCATTGTTTTTTTCTTAAAACAGGTACTGAGTATAAAACAATATAAAACAATATGAGAGGGTCTCTCTCTTTCCTCAAGTCAACTGGGGGGCTTAGAATTTTGTTTTTGGTTTACATTTCCATAAACATTTCGTAATTCACATCTACACAGACAGTGGGTCAAGGCACCCCTCTCTCCACATCCTCTCCAGCACTCACAGTGAGCAGTCTTTTTAATGTGTGCCAGCCAGTCTGCTGGATGAGAAATGGCATCGCGGCATGACTTTCATTTGCATTTTCCTATTTACTAGTAAGCGTCTTTCCATTGGTATGAATTTGGTCTTGATTTGAGTTTGTGAGGCAGAATAGCAGAGATGTAAACCGTATTTGTGGGCTGTTTGGGTTTCCCGTTCTGTCAACTGCTGCTCCTATCCTCTGGCTGTTTTTCCTGCTGGGTTTGTCTTTGCACTATGGACGTGCTGGAACTCAGTGCAGAGTGTTAACTTGCCTTCTGTCAACATTTTGCACATATATTTTTCTAGTCTATCATTTGTGTTTTGACTTATTAGGGTATTTGTTTTCATACAGATTTTTTTCTTCATTTTATGTAGTCAGACATGTTTATCATTTTTTAATGACTTTTCAGTTTCCCATTTTGTTTTTAAAATCTCCTCAACACATGAGCTATATTCCTAAGCTTCCTTCTGATTTTTTTTTCCGTTTAATTTCTCTCATTTAAACATATAACCTTTCTGGAATTTATTTTTTGTCAAATTAAAGGTTGGCTCAGACAGGTGTGATGGCTCATGCCAGTAATCCCAGTGCTTTAGGAGGCCAAGACGGGAGGATTGCCTGAGGCCGGGAGTTCGAGACCAGGCTGGGCAACATAGTGAGACCTCTGTCTCTGCGAGATTTTTTAAAATTAGCTGAGCCTGGTGGCACATGGCTGTAGCTGAGACAGGAGGATTACTTGAGCCCAGAAGGCCAAGGTTACACTGAGCTATGATCACACCACTGCACTCCAGCCTGGGCAACAAAGCAAAGCCCTGTCTCTAAACAGACAAACAAAAATTAAGATAGGCTCCAGTGTTCTTCCATGCAGATAGCCAAATTCAGCATTTCCTGTCTACACCCTCAGACCCAGTGGGCCCCCAACAGGTGCCTGGGAAGTGGCTACCACGTTCGGGGCTAGGAGGTCTGGGAGGTGGTGCAGATGCCCCTCCCCCAGCCATGGCGATATTCTACTTTTGTTGTTTTACAAAATAGGCTTCCAGTAAAGATTTGGTTTGGACAAAGTGTTCTGAAGCTGAAAGAATTTTGAAAATCCCTTTCAGATGATCTCTGGGGGCCCTTCCAAGTTTGACATTCTCTGACTCAATAAGGCCCAGGACAGCAACTGCTTATTAAGGAAGAGAAGGCAATGGCTTGGTGTATGTTTATCCAAAAGTAATTTCAATACTGAATCCCAGGTTGGCTCAAAGTGGATATTGGAATCACAGCATTTTAGAGGTGGAAGGGACCTTGGAAATCCTCTAGTCTGGTGCCTCTCAATCCTGGCTGCCTTTAGAATCACCTGGGAGTTTGTTAAAAAAGTCCTGGTGCCCTGGACTCATGCCAGACCACGGAAATCAGAGTCCTTGGGGAGAAGGGAAGGGCCCAGGCATAAACTGTTTTAAAAATCTCCTCGTGATTCTAATATGCAGCTAGGGCTGAGAACCACTTCGCTAGTTCAACTCCCTTATTTCATTAGTAAGTCAGCTGAAGCCCAGAAAAGGTGAGCCACGTATGACACAGCTGGCTAACTGTAGGACTGGGACTAGAACCCAGATCCCTGCCTCCCGGGTTGACTTTTTCATCTACACCAAGTGCCTCATCAAGCACCACTCCTTGGATGTTTAGCTGGTAGCACTAAAGTCCCTGTATGAATATTTTGTAACTTTGTATATGATCAGCTTAAAAGTATTCACTGCGTGCAATTCTGTGCAGCCTAGAGAAACAGACTTAGTTCTACCTTGCAGGACCGTGGTGGAGAACAGGGCCATAAAAAGCAAACTATGAGAACAGAGCAGGACGTTTGGTACGTGCACGTGAGAGCGCCTCTGCAGGGAGGCCTGCGGAAGTGGGAAGGGTGAGTTGCCAGGGAGGCCAAGGAGGCTTCACACAGGAGGTGGCATTTGAGTTGAGCCTAGTGGGTGGTTGAAGAGGACTCTGATGGACAGAGAATCAATGCTGCACTCTTGCCCGGGGCAGCGGTTGGCTGCCTGATTTTTACGCAGGGGCTCGAAAGGGCAGGGATAGGGGCAGCAGGGTTTCAGGGCAGAAATGCTTTAGTATCAGGCAGGGTGGGGACCCAGCCTGTGTCAGGCGCTCTGATCTCCCTCTGCTCTGCCCGCAGGAATGAGACCGTGCTGCACCAGTTCTGCTGCCCAGCCGCCGACGCCGAGCAGAAGCCGGCCTGCTCCGACCTGGCCTCCCACAGGTGGGAACTGTGGCCCTTCCTCCATTCTGCACCCCCACCTTCCTTCCTGTTGCAACAAAGCACATACCACTGCACTAGCTACTGGCCTCCTCCTCATGAGTCTCATGTGGGGTAATTTGTTTGCTTTCACCTCCTTCCTCAGACTTCAGTTTCTCTCTGTTTCCTCTGGACCCCAAATGAGCCATTCCCAACGTTTAAGGTCATTATGCCCCAGCGATCACACCCCAAACGTGTGCTCCTTTCTTCTGAACAGCCCATGTAAAATCTAATTTTCATAAGTAGCCAGGAAAATTGGTTTGATCGGGGATATTCACGTCTCTCACATGGGAGGGTGCCTGGCACACAGTGGTGTGCGCTCAGCCCATGCATAGTGCCCAGCCTTCGTCTTACATCAAGGATTTATACTTTTCTTTCTGGTTTCTCTTCTTCCAGTCAGCCCAGGTGCCTGTCTTTAATTTTCAGGATCTCTCAGCCCTGGCTACATTCGTTGACAGCCTTGGGATGGCGTGGGAGTGTTGAGGAGTCAGGTTTTAGAGCCACAGTCCTAAGCTTTCTCCTCTGTTTTTTCCTGGGTTCTCCTCCTGCCCTCTGCCTCCCTGTCCCCCTTCCTGGTGCTCCCTCTCCGTCCTGGGATCAGCCTTCTCCCTCTGCATTTGCTTCTGTCTCTCTGCCCTTGTGTTTGTGGTTTCTCCTCTTCTGTGCCCATGTTGTGCTCCCCGCCCGCCCCCGATCTGTGTGTTCTGTCAGCCTCTCTCACTCTTTTCTCTTTTCCACCAGTTTGTCTGTCTCCATTCTGCACATTTCTCTTTTCTTGACTTGTTCTGTACTCCATTTGGATTCTGGCCTGAAATTTGCCCAGTCTGTCAATCTCCTATTATGGAGTTAATTTGGGCAAGTTACTCCACTCCCCTGGGCCTCAGTTTCCTCATCTGGATAGTGAAGGGTTTGGTCTGTCTCAAAAGTGGCATTCACCTATCATCCCATCGAGCCTCTGAGCTGCGCAGTGCGGCCAGACTGGGCAGGTCTTCTTGTCCCTGGAGGATGAGAGGAGAGTAAGGGTCAGAGGAGCCAGAGACTTGTCCACAGTCACAGAGCGAGGACCAGCACAGCCACGGGAAGCTTAGGGCATCGGACTTCTCATGCTCACCATTTTCAGGTTTAAGATCCGAAGATTCTGTGATCTTTCGCCCTTTATCCTCTGGAAAATAACTAGACAGTGATCAGAAGTGCTGGCTAGTGACCTTGGGGCACGGACAACCACCCCATGAAAGGCATTGCTGTTCATTTTCCCTTACAGGGGAGTCGGCAGAGGTCAGAGGCGGGGCTCTGAGGAGGACTCTGAGAGAGGCCACACAGCCTAGGGGTCCTTCAATCCAGGGCTGAGGGAGGAATGGGAGTTACTGAAGCCAACCATGTTGAAGATGGGAGGCTGTTTTCGGTGTCCTCTGTGACAAGTTTTGGGCCAGGCCTGGGGACATAAGGCCAACTTGGACCCTTGAGAAGTTCCCCACGCAGTGGGACATTAGGAAACCCTCAAAAGGAAAACTGCTCACCTGGAAATTAGAATGAAGAAGAGAAATGGGAGAATGGAACGGTGGAGGGGGAAGGAAAGAGGAGAGCGTGGAGATGTGGAAGACACCAGGACGCTGTAGGGGAAGACCCTGACTGCCCTGGCCCCTTCCCATGAGCCCTCACTGTTCAGACACATGGCCCGAGTCTCCGTCCTAGAAACTGCCTTCCTTGGTGGGGGGAGAAGAGAGAAAAACTGTCTGGCCTGCCTCCAGCTCCATCAGTTCAACTCAGTTCAGTAAGCACTTTATTGATACTAACCAAGCCCCAGGCCTCAGTGAGGATGGAGAACACGCCCCTGAGAAGCCCAGGCCTGGCAGGGGCGGGCAACAGAGACGGTCCCTTGGGTTTCCTGTGGTCTCTCCTCCCATCCACTCTCAGCCTGCATGCTCGCTTACGCACCAGCACTCCCCTGCTGCCTGTGTGGTGCCCACCTGCAGCCCTAGCTCCAGGTGGGAAGGCGTGGGAGAGAGGCAGCCCAAGCAGCACGCCAGAACGTAGGTAGATGTGGGGCAGGGGAGGGGTGCTGCCCTCTCAAGGGGCTGGGGCTCCAAGGGACTAGGGTTATTTTCCAGGGTTTGAGGTGGATGATAGGAAACCCATGATCTTAGTTTCCAAGAGGTTTGTTGTTCACCTTCCCCTGGGAGGTGTGGGCTTTGAGGTTGGGGATGGGGGATGCTCTGGGAAGGGAGTGTGGGAGGTGGGAGATTCTCTTGATTCTCTTGAATGTTGGTTCATGGAGGGGCCCATACACCCTGCCTATGCGGGCCCTCCCCCTGGGTGGGGACAGGAGGCTTGCCCCCCAAGATGGTCCAGGGCTTCAGCTGCTGTCTGTCTCTAGTTCCCAGTTACTCCACGTTGTCCTGTCTGTCTGTCTGATTTGTAGTTTCCTAGAGCCTGCTTTTGTCTGTCTGTCTCGCTGTCTGATGTGGCTTTCTTGGCCTCTCTGAGAGGAGTCCCTCTGGATGTTTTCTGGACAGCCCAACAGTGTATGTGTTTGCTCTTGGCTTCTTGGGGGAATTCTATCCTAAGATAAAGTTTTCCCTGATCAGACTCTCAGCATCCCTGCTCCCAACCCTATCAATGATTCCTTCACCAAACCTCATCCCTTCCCTTAGTCCAGCTGTCCCACCTCCAGAGCACAGCCACAACTTCCCAGCAAGCTCCTCTAGTGGAATGTGTCACAGTCAGAGGCCAGCCTGTGGGGCTGGCACAGGTGGGTAGGTCACACAGCCCTCTCAGGAGATCTGGTATGGGCTCGAGCTCTGAGACAAGCCAGGCTCCTCCTCCATCAGTCTGGCTCTTCCCCTGTCAGTCTGGCTTCTTCCCTGTCAGTCTGGTTTCCCACTAGCTCAGCCAGTAGGAATCATGGCCTCCTGAGGATTTCTAGGATCAGCCGTTGGCCTCTCTAGGAGACCCCAGTAAGGAATCCAAAGTCAGTGAATCAGGTGTCAGGGCCTGTGGTGTGCGGACTCAGCCAGCCACAGGATCTCCCTTGCCATCCTCCTCTGCAGTCTGGCTAAGGCCGGCCCCCACTCCAGCTCCAGGGCTGAGCAGGTGCCCTCCCTGGGGCACTGCAGTGGCTGCTCCTCTGGCTGATCAGAGATGTAGAGATGCTGCTCAGCCCAGAGGAAAGTTGGCTCCCTCCCCGAAAGACCCAGGGCCAGAAGAGAGCCTCACCCCCCCGAAGAGGCAGAGAAGCCTCAGCCCGACCGAGGCCAGGACAGCCTTCCTTCCCCAGCCACCTGCAGAGGAGCAGCTGGGGGCTGGTGTCAGGGAAACTGCCTTGGGGCTGGGAGCCTGACGGGGAGTGGTTCTCCCAGGAGCAGGAACCCCTGAAATTGAGCACATCTGGAAGTGTGGGTGTCTGCAAAGGGAGGCTGAAGGGTGGGCGTCAGCAATCTGGGGTACAGTGGAGCAGCTATGGGGCTGGCAAAGCCCTGCGAAGCTGGATGACCAGATAGAGTTACTATGGGTTCTGCTCTGCCCTGGTTCCCCACACCCCCCTAGGAAGGCAATCTGTGTCTGCCAGGGTAATGAGGCCCTCAGGTGGGAGCTGGGGGTGGTGTCTCCTCCCAGCAGCCAGCCAGGGAGCAGTAACTGCGTGCCAGGCTCTTTCTCCCCAGAAAAGATCGCCCCCTGGTCTTTGCCCCTACCGACCGCCTCCCTGCTGCCAGCTAATGACAGGGCTTTATTCTGGGGCGCTGAATAGGCCAGTAATTGCAGCCCTACTTTCCATCCTGCGGGCTCCCTTCCCTTTCAGGCTCTCAGCGACATTCAGAACAATGGCCCAGTAGCTGGCCAGCTGCCTCCCAGCATAGAGCCCGTTTGTCTCAAGGGTGATAACGGGGCCAAGATGAGGAAGATGGGCTTCTATTAGAGTAATGGGAGGAGGCGGCTGTGGGAGAGGGTGGGGCTCAGGAGAAGGAGGCTGGGTTCAGGAGGGAGAGGAGGGCTCAAGAAAGGGAGGAGAGCTTAAGAAGGGGAGGTGGGCTCAGGAAGGGGAGGTGGGGCTCAGGAGGGGGAGGTGCGCTTAGGAGGGGAGGTGGAGTTAAGGACGGGGAGGCGGGGCTCAGGAGGGGAGGCAGGCTCAGGATGGGGAGGCAGGCTCAGGCGGGGAGGCGGGGCTCAGGCAGCAGAGGCGGGGCTCAGGAGGGGAGGCAGGGCTCAGGAGGGGGAGGCGGGGCTCAGGAGGGGGAGGCGGGGCTCAGGAGGGGAGGCGGGGCTTAGGAGGGGAGGCGCGGGAGGCTCTCCTGCCAGAGGAGCGAGGAGCTCAGGAAAGGAAGGCAGGGTTCAGGAGGGGAGGTGGGTTCAGGGAGAGGGGCGGGGGGCTCAGGAGGAGAAGCCCAGGGCTTAGGAGGGGAGGCAGGGCTCAGGAGGGAGGCAGGGGGCCCGAGGAGGAAGGCGGGGGCTCAAGGATGGGGAGGTGCCCTTAGGAGGGAGGTGGAGTTAAGGACAGGGGCGGGGCTTGGGGAGGAGAGCGGAAGGCTCGGGGAGGGGCGGGGGCTCAAGGCGGGAGAGCCAGAGTTCAGGGAGGAGAGGCGGGGGCTTAGGAGAGGCCGGGGAGGAGCTCAGGAGGGGAGGCCCGGAGTTCAGGAGGAGGAGGAGGCGGAGCTCCGGGAGGGAGGTGGAGTCAGGAGGAGGCAGAGGCTAAGGAGGCGGGGCTCAGGAAAGCTCAGGAGGGGAGGCGGGGCTTAGGAGGGGGAGGCGGGGCTCAGGATGGGGAGGTGCCCTTAGGAGGGGAGGTGGAGTTAAGGACAGGGAAGCGGGGCTTAGGAGGGGAGGCAGGCTCGGGAGGGGGGGAGGCGGGGCTCAGGCGGGGAGGCAGAGTTCAGGAGGGAGAGGCGGGGCTTAGGAGGGGAGGCGGGGCTCAGGAGGGGGAGGCGGAGTTCAGGAGGGGGAGGCGGGGCTCAGGAGGGAGAAGTGGAGTT